ATGGATAGGTATAAATAGAGTCTATGACGGTTTTGGTAAAATTAAATGGAAATTTTTACATTTCAACGTATGAAATTTTGCAAGAGCAAAAAAAGGAATATATATATATATATATATATATATATTTCATGTTAACCGATATAGCGTTTAAAGCGTTTTCGCTTTAAACGTATTTTACTGTAATCTAATTTATTTGTGTTCAAAAGGACATAGCTTAAATCTATTGCAAAAGTAGGTTTTTAAAAAATACTTTAAGGCGTTGATAGTATAAATTCAGGACAAAAAAAAAATTTCTGTCGGGCGTACGAAGCTTTATCTCTTTTAGACTATAAATATAACTGTAATTATGGGCTTAGAGAAAAAAAATCCTATTTTTTATTATTTAATTTGTTTGCAAGAATCCTATATGGTTAGAAAGAATGCATTATTTCAACAACCAAGAATAATAGTTATTTTGTGATACAATATATAATAACTTGGTATAGTTTCAATTGAATTACAGCACTTCTTTTGTTTCGGAAAATATGAAGTGAGATCGACTCCTAGACAATCTGATAAATTCTAAATTATTGTGGAACAAGTACCATTTCAGAACAGCAGCTTTTTCTGCCTCACAATATGATGTATATTTAGGGGAGGTTTTTTAGTTCGAGTTAACAATACATTGCATTGTTCAGCTAATGCCCATACGACCCTGGAATGAAGCCGATTCAACAGATTCAAAATGATACATTTTTTTTTTCTTCCGAAACTGCTGTCAGTTTCATCTTGCTTTAACAAAATCAAAAAACATGAGGAATTTGGAAAATTTTATGGTACCATAAAATCTGGCTTGTAACGTAAACTTTTAACACAAAAAATATGATCAAAATTTACGGGTACGCGTTATACGCCAGGTATAAAAATGAGAGCTTTAAAAATTAAAAATAGATGAGCATAGGAAAAAATTAGGCTTCTAAATAGATGGAAATACTGTTCAATTAAAAGAAATAACATTCCTTATATGAACTGAACGAATTAGGGTTCTAGAAGTATAGTATTTTTTTCTAAAGCTTGGAATAGTATTTCGAATTAATGACTTCAAAACATTAGGGCATTGGGCAAGTACATTTCAGGTTTCTTCGTAAAAAAGGAGGTACGTGTTAGACGGCAAATATACCTAAAAAAACTAAAAATTGCAGCTTGAAAGTAAGGATGCGCGTTATACGCCGAATTTTACGGTTATTATTACAATCATTAAAATTTTATTGCGAAAATTATTGCTAATGTTTAAAAGATTACAAAAACTATTTATATGAGTTAAAAATTTTGTTTACATCCAATTTATATTTCGTTACAAATCAATAAATTTGCTCCAGGGTAATGAAATCGTAGTCTTCTTTTTAAAACAAAATTAAAAAGAGTAGTTTTTCATGGTCAATTTTTCTTTTATGATAAAAGATTGCTTCTGTAGGGACAAAAATAATAATTTTCACAGAAAAATTATTTATTTAAAAACATTGTGAGGCAAATATATTTTTCCTCTCATCTGTTTCATTGTATTTTTAATGGGATATCTATCAATACAATTATAATGTTTCACCTGTATGCAACCAATACCTATCTTGGTCTAATTTATCACATAAAAATTTATTTATAATAACCAGTATAATTCATTTACTCATTTTACTCATTATTTGGTATTATTGCAGTTGTTAATTATAAAAAATCACAAATCTGTTGATTTTAACATATTTTTATGGTTATTTTATTACATTCTTTAATTTAATATGATGTTAAATAATGCTGAGATAAAAAAAATTATTTTCTCTAAAATTATCAAAAATCTTTTGAAGCTCGATCTATTTTGCTTTATTCTAATCTAGCTCTAAGGTCGTATTTTCAAAGTTAGAATCCGGATACTTAGCAAATATTATAAGCGCCTGCAAATCCGTTGCATAGAACACAAATTTATACGATTAGGTTTATTAGTCGTGGAAAATAATTTGATGTATTTGACATCCACACAGTCTAGCAAAGAATGATGCCGTTTGGATCAGTTTCAAAAATTATGATACATAGTAAGTATAACTTTAATTTTAGAATAATTTTATAAATTACTTAAGTCACATAAATGAAAATTTAACAGCTTTTCAGTTTCATGAATATAGTTAAAAAACAAATAATATAAAAAAAAATTAAGTCAATTCCTACTTAGGTGAACAAAGAAAAATTTTATTTTAGTTACTTTTTATTAAATAGTTATATGTAATAATATAAGTATCACAATATTAAGTGGCAAAATAGAAAACGATTTTCCTTGCAATTTTCCATTTTCTTTTCGATATACTATACAGTTCGAATAAATTGGGACAAATGGGGAAAAGTAATTTTTTCTAAAACTTTAGTTTTTTATTTTTGTACTCCTTAAAAAGACTGAAAAATCTTCATATTAGTACGAAGTACGTCTTCCTTTAACAGAAATGACCTTTACAACACGTCTTGACACTGACTTCACTAGAGTAGCACACATGTTCTTGATTTCATCATCTTGGAAACACACTAGTATAGCCCTCTTTATCATTTGCTCTGTTGTCACGCGATTCATCTTATTGAAACGTTTCTTGAGAATATATCATCAGTTTTGAATAGGATTTAAGTCTGGGGAATTTTCAAGCGTATGGAGCACTTTTATTTTATTTTCTCGAAAAAGTATGGACTAATTTCGAGTTGTGACAAGGGGCCAAGTACTGTTGAAATGATCCATCAAATATTTCCATGAATGGAACAATCCTACTACATAATATTTCTATATATTTGACAGAATTCATCATGTATTTAAGAGGAACTAAGCTTCCAGGGCCATTTGTTGAGAAAAAAACCCCAAACATTGGTTTGGAAGGGTGTTTTACAATTTGTTTGATATGATCTGGTAACAAAGTTTCAACTTCACTTCATCTAATTGCACTTAATTTGTATCCCTGCATAAAAAATTGTTTCATCACTCAAAATCACCCTCTTCCAGTCGTTAACAGTCTATGATCGGTATTTTTTGGCCCATATTAAACGTTTTTCATCATTTTCTGCGTTAGAAATAGTTTTTTTCCTCAATCGTTGCATTAAGGCCACCTTTCAGAAGCATTTTGCGTGCAGTTGCGGCACTCACTTCAACACCATTATCCAATAAATCTCTTCAAATGTCTATGCATGTCTTCATAGATTTATTTTGCTATTTCGTATTAAAATTTATCAATTCTTGAAATTGTTTTCCCCTTGCGGCCACATTTTTCTTTTCTTTTTGGAGACGATGATCCAGAAATTTGAAATGTTTTTAAAACGCTTAATTCGATCACACCAACCTCTATAGTTATATCTCTCACAGTCATAGAAGAGTGTTCATTGAGAGGGATTTATTTTAGAATGATTCTTCGGAGTAATATCCATCTTTGAACAAGTAAAAGTAACACATCTTATACAGAACGCAAAATTGAAATTATCATCTGCCCCATTGAAAGGCTCACAACTGAGCTCCAGATACATTAAGATGAATAAATTATAGTCAAAGTCGATCTGTCACACTACCTAAAGGTAGATATAACGGATTTGAGGTAGATCGGGGCATCAATATTAATCACATACCACCGCAAACAAGAAAAACATGTTTGTCCCAATTAATTCGAACAGTATAGTATGGTGTTGGACCATTTTTTGCTTGTTTGTTACTATACTGAAGTGCCACTGAATTAGGGATAGCAAGGGCTATGCAAATTGTGTAGCGCTGCGCATAATTTATGAGCAAGTGAGGGTGCTGTGGTAACTGCATATATAGCACGTACTCTGATTGTTCTGAAATAGTTTTTGGAATTGCCAATATTGATTAAGTGCCTGATAAGGACACCTTCGATCGCGGATAAATTATGGGTGCGTGAAGCATGGGCAATTTAATTTCCGAAATCGTCAGACAGCTAGGATTTTCAAGATCGACAGTGTCAATAGTATACCAAGAATACATGGATGGTGACAAAAAAATAGCCATCGGACAAACTGCAAAGGACAATTTGCCTTTACAGTGCGGGGGAGAGAGACGGCTGAGGCGTTTTGTATGCAGCCAGCGAAGCCAAACATTAGCTCAAATTACCACTCAGTTAAATGAGGGTGCCAGTCGAACAGTCAGCAAATGGACTGTGCAACGCTCGCTTCACCGTATGGGTTTCGGGAGCTGTCGACCTACGAGAGAACCATTGCTCAATGCTCGCCATCGGGCAGCACGTCTTTCCTGAGCAAGAGAGCACATAGACTGAAGTGTAGATTACTAGAAATGAGTAGCATGGAGTGATGAGTCTCGATTCCATCTACTTAACGCTGACAGTAAGCTGAGAATATGGCATCAAGCTCATGAAGCCATGGATCCTGCATGCCAGGTTAGAACTATACAATAGAATGGTGGCTCAATCATGGTCTGGGGTACTTTTTCGTGGCACTGTTTCGGATCTTTGGTGCGCGTACCAACCTCCCTCAATGCAATTCAGTACGTAGAGATTCTGGGTGATCACCTCCATCTGTTTATGTTGTTCTACTATCCGCACGGTAATGGAGTTTCCCAACAAGGCAACTGTACCTCTCACAAGTTCCGGTTGGTTTATGGCTGGTTGAATGAACATTCCTCTGACCTTTCTGTCATAAATTGGCAACCTAGAATCACAGATTGAAATCTTATCAAGCATCTTTGGGATGTTTTGTAATAAGGCGTGAAAGGCCATCACACAGCACCAATTAACCCTGCTGAATTTCGGACAGCTTTAGCCAATATTTGGCTAGACCTTCCAGTGGAATGTTTTCAGAAACTTGTTGAATCTATGCCTCGTCGTGTTGCAGCAGGTATCAAGGCCAGAGCAGGCCCAATTCGTTACTAGGTAGGTATTCCTAATTCAGTGGCACTTAAGTGTATTTATTCATTCATTAAATTTAATTATTCTAATAAAATAGTTTCGTGAAAAACACAAATCACAACCCCAGAAATTAGGCCATCCCAGGTGGGATTCGAACCCACGATTTTTCGAGTAGAAGTCCAACGCGCTTTTCAATGCGCTACAGGGTCACAACGAACGATTATCCTTTCTATATGTACTGTTGGACTATTTTATTTTTGTTTGTTATTATTTTTTTATTCATCTTTTAATCTAATTAATGAATTAATATTTGAAAAAAGTATACTAGCATCAAGTGTCACCCACTGCAAGTTTAAAAAAATGTATTTGAGCTTGAATGGATAAATAGAAAGTATTTTATTGACGTTGAAAATTTGAACAAGATACATATGTGTATATAGAGTGTGAACTGATATAGTAGGAATTTAATTAATTCAGTAAAGAAAAAAAGGAATACCTTTATGATAAGATTACTTTTTTGTTGTTGTTGTTTATTTTGTATGAAACAAGCTTTGCAATTTGCTCACTAATAAAATCTCTGTGTTTATGAATTATGAACGAAAATAGTTCTCAATGAAATCGCAAATATAATTGAAAGTATAAAGATATTACACGCAAAGAGGGTATTTAAAGCCAGTTGAAAACGAATATCATTTTTTCACATTGAAGCAAATACAACTAAAATCATGAAAATAAAAATGATATATACAGAGAGAGAGAGAGAGAGAGAGATTTCAAATCGTTATTTTTTAAAAAATCTTCTAATCTTTTTTTAGTTTTTCTCTCTCTCTCTTACTCTTTAAAATTAGATCCTTTCATAATTCACCGAGAGCTTTTCCAGTCGCTGTTGGAAACATTTATTTTAATTGTTTCAAGTTTTCCTCTGAAGTTAGGCTGTTTTATTTGCATACTTATTCAAATACAAATATAGAAAAGTAAGTAGCAAAATTCTGAGAATTAGATAAAAATATAGTGATAGTAAAATATTTATCAGTCAATATTTATTTATTATTTATATTGTTCTTTTTTTTTAATGTAACTACCCCTTTTTATATTATGAAATGAGTGAACATTTGCTCATTACCTGATTTTAACTAAATACTGACATTGAAAATATTAACAGTCATGTTATTTGTTAATTTAGAATAATGACGATTAATAACTTTTATGATCTTGTTTTGTCTTTAATTTTTTAAAGAATGGCAATTGTTGATATTTTGATCCATATACTATGCTATAATTAAAATTGAAGTGCATAATTTTATATAAAAATGTTCATCAATTTAAAAAGAACAGATAATACAAAAGAGGCCCAGTGGCCGAGTGGTACAGTATCGCGCTTCCACACCACAGATCCGGGGTTCTATCCTTGGACTGTGCAAGGTCGACTCAGACTTCCTTTCCTTCAGTGGGTTGATAAAATGAGTACCAAGCTTGCTTGGGGACAAAACACTAAAAACTGAGGGGTTCGCTTCAGACTAACCACCTGATCGGGGCATCTGCTCATGCACCTCAGCTCCCAATTGTCACGTAAACTGAGATGGGCACAGTAGGCCATGGCCCTCAAGAGCTGTTGCGCCACTGAGTTTAGTTTTAGATAATACAAAAAGTATACTACTACAAAATATATAAAAGTAATGATGGATAAGGGGGGATGGATTAAATTTCGTACAAATCATAAGACGCTTGAATTCAGAATTCGAAAACCAAGAACAAAAAAAACGATATATTAAGTCAATTAACCAAAATAGAAAACTACTATGTTTCTTAAGCTGTCACAGACTTAGGAAAATTAAATAGGATTAGACTTGGTTTATAGGGTCCTAACCGTCTTCAGCAAAAAATATCTTTCATAATGGTTCAAGAAAAATTTAATATAAAACTGGCTTAGAGAAATAAACTGTGGCCTGAAATTTGAACTTGTAATACTGAAATTTATACAATAGGCTTTATGCCAACTAAACTAGTATGTATAAATGGAAACAGTTGTTGAAAGATGCAATTATGAAAAACAAACATAAAACACAAATTCAAGAACTTACATAAAATTTCGTACATATAAAGTAAAAAACTAGTAATATAAAAAAAAAATTAAGTATTAAGTATAGTCAATTCCTATTTAGATCAACAAAGAAAAATCTTATTTTAGCTACTTTTTATTAAATAGTTACAATTAATATATATATACATATGACAGAATCACAACATTAAGTGGTCATTAATTTTTATTAATTATCTTTAAAGTACCGCATTGTCATCCAAAACAATCGTGTTTATAAATTTCAGTTCAACTGAACACTTTAACACGTGTGAAAAAAACCTTTTCAAGTTTTGACACAAGTCGCCAAAAGAGTCGCTAAGTCACAAAAAATGATGCCAACGTGGTTGTGTATTTGTAATTCTTTAAATAATTAGTTTTAATCAATTAATTTTTATTAATTATTTTTATATTATTGTATTGTCATCCAAAATAAACCTGTATATAAGCTGAGCGCTTTAAAATGTATTTTATCAACGATTGAAAATTCCACCCAGATAAATGAATAAATATATAAAAATTGTGAGCTAATAGTAGGAATTGAAAAAAAGGAAAGAAGGATACGAGATATATATATGCTATATTTTGCATACCAAACATTATTTAAGCTTTTTACTGAAGAAGGATAATTACTTTATAAATAAAGTCGAAAACACTAACATTTTCTTTTTATGTAATAAACAAGAACTGATACAGTCTTTTGCTTCATTACTGGTTACTATACTACGAAAGAAATCTGTACAATTTTCAAAACAATTACTTCTAAATAACATAAATTCCAAATAACATAAATTTTGGTAGTAAAATAACAACTTTTGTTATTTAAAATGCCTGAATTCCAGAAATACACCCAGAGCTTTAATGGAACCAGAAAATACAACAAAAACGTAATAATGGAGCAGATATATTTTCCTTGATATGAACAGGTGGGATTTTGTTCTAACATCCAAAAAAAAACAAGTTTAACTCTTGAGATCTGCGTTATTTAACATCAAACAAATTAGGCTTAAGAAAAAGAAATGGGACTAAATAATGATAAATCAGGATTAGAAGAACGAGTGAAGAAAATACTACAAATCTGAAAACAAAAAACGCTTGAAATATTTAGGAAAATATCCTAAGATCGATTCAAGGAGGTATAAGACCTTGAAATCTTAGAGGTCTTATGTTAACCACTAACAAAAACAAAATTTTAATTGCTAATTCTTCGTGGAATAATTTTTCACTTCTTTTATCTCCTTTGACTACTCAAATTCGTTTATAGAAATGTGAAAAAAAGTGATGAATAATATAATTATGTAATTTAAAAAATCACATGCATATGTTTATAATGAATAGAATTGCAATGGTCTTGACTAAGGTAATGTTAAAAATTTAATGGCATTCAGACAACACTAATTGTTTCCGTGCAATTTTTAAATGATTTATTATCCATAGAAATAGTGTGTTTCCTTTTTTTAATATTCATTATATGATCAAAAAAATGAAAAATAATGATGAATGGAAAATTAGAAAGCTCAAAAAATGAACTACGTTTATCCTATTTTAATTTTTGAAAATATGTGTATTAAAGTTGAAGTAATTTTTTAAAATTAGATCGTTCTTTTGAAAAATGCAGCCTTTTTATACATTTGAAGTACAAAAAATTAAAAGAAATTAATTCAATGAGGCGGTAAAAGGATATTTTATCACTGCAATTAAAGATTTTAGCATCGGTAATATTCTTAATATAAGG